AAAAAAAGATATGTGATGGGTTTTATCCTTGGGCTACCAGCATTAAACAAGATGTTGAGCCGTATTTTATTTGCCTTATTGATTATGATTAGTTGAATCTGGCTAAAAGGTATATGAATACACACAGTGAAATGTTCTCACTTTAGAAGAAAAAGAAATACTTTGGTAACCATAATTTTAAAAGCCAGGGTTTTTTTGTATTTTTTTTTTTTTTTTTTTTTTTTACAAATAGTTTATTGTCAAATTAGTTTCCACATAACACCCAGTGCTCATCCCCACAAGTGCCCTCCTCCATGCCCATCCCTCCTCCCCCCCACATCCATCAGTCCTCAGTTTTTGGCAGCATTCAAGAGTCTCTCATGGTTTGCCTCTCTCAACCCATCACATATCTTAATCATCATCTGGGGAATGTTCAATGAAAATCTGCATGCAAGATGTTACGCTGGGTACTTTGTGGGGTACACAGGTGATTCTGACACAAATCCTATACTCAAACATAAAGTCCAACAAGGAAAATCCAGTAAGGAAAATACGAAGGACGTAAGCAATGTAACACGGATGCCATCCAAGGGTTTCAGACCAAGTGCCAGAAGGTTCAAATGATGACTTTCTGCTATGAGATGTGAGGCCATGCTATGGAGGGGCCGGCAGATGCAGAGAAGGGAAGAGGCATGCAGGCGGGTGGAGGCGGGGCATGGACAGCAAGCACAATGGCCAGAAAAGCTTGAGCAAGTTGAGCAGACATATGAAAAGCAGACATGTTTGTAAAAAGGCGGGTTGAGTTGTGTTCACAGGCGGTCCAGTGCTCTAGGGAGGTTGTGTGGTTCTTGGCTAATGGGAGAGGCACTGAGGACTTCAGGACAGAGAAGGAACGCCCTCAGCGTCAGGCTTCGGGAAGCTTCCTCATCAGGGGGTGAAAAGAAGTGGAGGCACTAAGATATCGGGCACTAAGACCTCCACCTGCCTCCCGGGCCCCTACCTTGGCTCCAAGGCAGCTCTCAAAGTCCTTTTTCAAGTCGGTCACAGCGACTTTGTCCTGGGGCCTTTTTGGTCCACTGCAGCAAGGCACGACTGTTCTCAAATTCAATTCCACAACCTGTCCACCCAAAAGAGCAGGGACTCAGGAGTGGACATCATACCTCAGAGAAAACACTCCAGCTGTGTCAGAGAATTTACAACACCACAGCTACAAAACCAAACAAACTAAACCACCACAGTCACAAGCAAGGAGTCAATGTTCGTTTTAATACTTAAAGAATGAATTTCCAACGATCAAGATGGGCACGTGAGTGGCACGGGACAGGCAGGGAGGCTGGTTACCTCTCAGGATGACCAGGGTGGGCGCTGTAGCCGCTGGCCGGCATCTTCTATGCGGCCACCTTTCCAAAGCAGGTGATACACCCTATTTACTGCTTAACTTAGTTTGAGATGGATTTATTTCTAAAACGATACATACACCAGTGTCCTTTTTTTCTCAAATGAATTGGTAGGATGCGGCCACTCAGTTATCAATGCCAGGAAATGGACCTTGGTCTAATTACATATTTCCTCCTCTCAGTGCATTACAAAACTAAACCAGGGGCCCACATCCAGGTTACCCTCCAGGCTTGCCTCTCAAGAGAACTGTGGAATCAGTTTGCACCCGAGAAAATGAATGAAGGTAAGTCAGTGGATAAATCAGAACTAATTGCTATGCTTGATCTCCGTTTCTTTTCTCTCTATAATAACAATGAACTTAGCCTTTAAACAGCCCTACTCCCTCTGGCGAAGACCTTCTTCAAAGGTTTTCCTTCCGTCTTAGAGGAGTAAATCAGTAGGTCAGAAAGGGGGCGCACACTCAGCCTAATGGCCAGGAAGAATGGAAGAAGTTATTTTATGTTTATAATTCCTTATCTTTTTAAAATTTTTTCAGCCTTTTAACACGTTGTTCTCCTGTGAGGACTTGGCAGTGACTAATTTCCTGCAAGTACACCTCCTAAGAAAAAACACAGGCTCGAGGAAGAGGAAGCACACTCAGTAGAAGGCGCTCTCATACCTGGGCAAAGTCAGGGTCTTGAGAGAGGTCACTGAAATCCCGGAACATTCCTACAGCTTGAAGATACTTTTTCATTTGCTTTACTTTTTCTTCATCCCGACCTAAATGGGCATTTTAAGAAACAACAAGTAACAGATGTTAATACTTCCTGGTGAAACTAAAGCCTCTGCCAGCAGTTATAGGAGTCAGGTGCATTTCTCTCATACACACCCCAAAAGCCCTGCTTGTATTTCAACATTCAGTCTAATGTTTTGACTCCCTGGGTGATGCTGCTGTTTATCAGGAGCCATTAACGGATCTGGACCATGTGCTGTAAGAAGATTCTGGTCCTATGTATGAGTACTCCTCTTTGGTCATCGTTCTTCATTCGGAGTACCTAAGGCTTAGTGAATTGTCAAAGCACATGGATGCCTCTGCCTTCAAGTGGCCAGACTCAGCATTCCACATTATTCTTGTTAAAATAGCAATCCTCCCAAGCTCCCACCAGCTCTGAGCATTTCCTGTCTGCCCACCATTATGTGCTGAACATTTCAAATATATCGTCTCCATCTCTAATCTTTACCATTACCTTATGAGACAAGTTCTAAATAAGGAAATAGTGGCTGAAGACTCCACAGTCCCAAGTCTTAACTCCTAATTGAATATGACCCTGAATGCTCTGCTGTTTAATTCTTTTTCTTTTAACATTTTATTTTCAAGTACTCTCAACACTGAACATGGGGCTTGAACTTGTAACCCCAAGATCAAGAGTCACATGCTCTACCGATGAGCCAGCCAGGTGCCTCTGCTGTTTTATCTAGACCCTGGTTGTATATGACAATATTCATGGAGTGTACCAAATCAGCATGCATTCCACTCATTTCTCTGACAGTTCAATAAGACTGTTTGAGAGTCTGATTCGTGGACCATGAGAGATTAGCCTGTTTATTTGCTGTTTAACCGGACTGTGAAAGTTACTAGCTTTCAGCGTGGACCTCATAAAAGATGGCTGGGCTTCATTAATGTATCTACCACGTTTGGCACAAGCCAGCCATCCTCTCCATGAAGATGCATAGGAGAAAATTCTCTTAGGTTTCAGAGTAGAGAAAGGGTTATACTTCTCTGAAGCAGTATGTTTGTTTCAATTCAATGGATGCGGCAAATGTGGCGCCAGATCACCAAGCAGCTTGGTGGCCACCTCTGTCTACAGCCATAGAAATCAGTCCGATCTCGAGATGTATTTTGCAGCTTTCCCTTTCCCTCCTTGCCAACCCTTCCCTTCTCTCAGTGGATTCCCTCAACTATTTCTTTTCTTCTTTTATTTCTACCTCTTCTTCACTTCGACTCTTTGGGGAGTAAGGGAGATATCAATTAATCAATTTCAATATGGTTATATGTAATAAAACGTTAAAAAAAAACCAACAAAAAACCTTTTTATCACTTCCCTTTTTAACGACTTCCAGAGGAAAATCAGGGAGAAGACCTGGATTAAAGTTGAAGTCTGTAAGCTTCTAACAAACCCTCACGATGAGATGTGCACTTGCCCAGTCCTCGACTTTGCCTTTACCTGGGAAACCTGCTATTTCTGAGATCTCAAAAGGAACATCAGCCATTAGAACCCTTCAATAGTAAACCCTGGATATTGATGAGAAGGCCCAAGTCTGTCTTGTTCTTTTCTCTTTAGTAACTCAGTTTGAAGTTTAAAAGTCATTTAGAAAATAAAAGGTCCCTTTCACCTTTGTCACATAGAATGAGCATTCAACAACAAAACTGTTTCATGTGAGCTTCTTGCTCAAAATGACCCCGTGCCTTCCTAGAACATTTAGAATTTAAAATAAATTTCCAAGTGTCCACTATGGCCTGCAAAAACCCCTGTGTGGATCTGGTCCCTGACCTCCCCTCCCATGACCTTGTCCAAACACAAAGGCACCCCTCCCCACCTCGGCTGTTGTCTGAACACACCAATACCGTCCCTGTCTTGAACTGTTGTACTTGGGTTCCTCTGTCTGGAAAATGCCTCCTCCACCACTTCCCACAGCTTGTTTCCCACTTCACTTAGACATCTCTTCAAATCATGCTTTCAAGAGCCCTGGTTGACCTTTAAAAAAATTTTTTTTGGGGTGCCTGGGTGGCTTAGTCAGTTAAGCGTCCGACTTTCGCTTAGGTCATGATCTCGCATTTCGTGGGTTCGAGCCCTGCGTCGGGCTCTGTGCTGACTGCCAGCTCAGAGCCTGGAGCCTGTTTCAGTCTGTGACTCCCTCTCTCTCTGACCCTCCCCTGCTTGCGCTGTCTCTCTCTCTCCTAGAAATAAATAAAACATTAAAAAAAAAAATTTTTTTTTTAACGTTTAATTTTTGAGAGACAGAGTACAAGCAGGGGAGAGGCAGAGAGAAAGGGAGACACAGAGCCAGAAGCAGGTGCGAGGCTCTGAGCTGTCAGCACAGAGCACGACATGGGGCTCAGACCCATGAACTGCGAGATCATGACCTGAGCCAAAGTCGGGCACTTAATCAACTAAGCCACCCAGGTGCCCCCCTAGCTTATCTTCTTATATATAAATTAGCACCCCTCAGCTTCTTCAGCCGCCTTCCCTGCTTTCTTCCTCATTCTCTTATAAATATATACATACTTATGCATTTGTTTGTTTACTTGTTCATGTCTGTCTCCCTCACCGGAACATGAGCACCATGAGGGTAGACTCATAGTCTTTATCTTGGTCACTGCTGTGTCTCTGAGACCTGGATCAGATGTTGATAACGTGTTAATGACTAAATATTTTAAAAATGAATTTGAAAAATTAAAAAAAAAAATCCCTTTCTCCAAGTTCAAGTCTCTTAACAAACACATACAGATTCAAGAAACTGCCAACATTTCAAGATGCCCTCCTATGCCAGCTTTCATTTTACCTTTCGGACAGCCCAGACTGAGGTGCCCTGGAATGCTGTCCCTGTGTGGAGCCTCAGCTTTGGATACTGACCCTACTTCCTTCTCCAATCCTATTTTTTCTATTAGTTTAATGAGCTCATCAATCAATCTACCCTAGATCTGTGAAAAAGGCTGAGAGCAAATACATAGCAAGCGCCCAGCACACGACAGGTGTCCCACAGACAGCTGTTCTCATTACTAAGATCCCTTGTTTCCTGTCAAATAACTACAAGTAGAGACCAGTATGAATAGTCCGCTTCCAGAACACCTGAGCTCTTTCTACTGGCCATACTGTGTCTGTCTCATATCTTCTGAAATCCCAACAACCATCTTGACTCCACAGAGAAAAGAAGAAACACCGTAAGTCTGACCCTGTGCGCTCCAAGGGGCAGAGGTAGAAGGTGGTGCTCCATCTCCAGAGTTCTACGAAACTTCGCAAAGCGTCTTCTGCCTTGAAGGTTCTGCACTTACCCGTCTGCACCAGGTACTTGATGCTGACTTCGTCAACCGGGAAAAATGCAGCCGTCGCCCCGTACTCTGGACACATGTTCGCGATCGTAGCTCGGTCGGCAATGGACAGCTGGGCTACTCCCGGCCCGAAGAACTCGACAAATTTGCCCACTACCCCAACCTGGCGCAGGTGCTAGGCAGCAGAACACAGAGGAGTCTGAGGCTTGACAGCCCACATTTAAAACGCAGAACTAGCTCCTTACAATTCTTATAAACTAGCCTGGTGAGTAAACACAAACAATGAAGTGGCCCAACATATTTTTGATTACTCTAAGAAATAAAATGTAAAAAGCAATGTTAACTACGTGCAGTATGGAATCTTGGATTGAATCCTGGAATAGAAAAGGGGTATTGAAAACACTGGTGAAATTACTGGTTTCGCTAGTAGTGCTGGGCCCATGTTCTTCCTTTTGATTCGTGTATCGTGGTTATGTGAGCTGTTAACACTCGGGGAAGTTGGGAGAAAGGTAACAGAAACTCTCTGTATTGTCCTTATATCAACTCTCCTGTAAATCTAAAATTATTGTCACAACAAAAAACAAAACAAATGAAAAAGGAAAAGTAATGCCCAAACCACAAATAACAATGTTAATAAAAGTTTTCCAAAATGAGAAGGGCTTTTTCTCTCTAATGAGATCACTGGAAGTACCTGGGAATGCTAAAAATTAAATTCATTCTTTCAACCCTAAGTGGTCTTGCACTAGTTGAGCAGATAAGTAAATGGATTATTTTCAAGAGTGTAATGAACAAATTTCCTGAACACAGGTACAAGTCAAAAGATCTAGACCGTCTGACTCCCATCTATTTTCAATACATGCCATCAGGCAGGGTGGGGCCTCAGTGACTGACTTGGCCCTGCATGAAGCCAGTTTCATGAACTGTGTGGACAATCACATGGACAGGCTCTTTGGGTTATGTGGGATTCTGCCAAATTCTATGGACAAGCCCTACATCATTCTACATTCGAATGAAAACGCATAGATTTCTCCAATAAGTTAGACCGCTCAAATAAATGCAATTCCAAACTCCATAATGATTCAAATCAAAGAGAAACATTTGCTCTTTAACGGGACTGTTGCCTAACACTCCAAGCCCCCAAACTGTACGACCAGAAAAAAAAATGTTTGTGATAATAAAAAACCATCACTTTTCTAATAATCCTTGAAAATGAGACTGCCTTCTTTTTGCAAAGCAAGCAAATCTCTCTCTCTCTCTCTCTCTCTCTCTCTCTCTCTCACACACACACACACACACACACACACACACAGATTATTTCTTGCAAAAGCTAAAGAAAAAAAGGAGTATTTCCAGCATGGAGAAACATCTGTTACAATAAAGTAATTTAGAATTCAGAGAAGAGAATTAAACGAGCCAGACATTAAATTCATAGAAGCAGTTTGTTATTTACATATAAAGGGGAACCACGTGAGAAACTGTAGTTTAAGTATAAACACATGCTTGGGAATGAGTCTTAGAACCTTAGGACAGCCATTATTTCTAAGAATGTGGAGGATGGCTTTAGCCATAAACATCACATTTTTTAAGAAGTATACATACAGAGAGGTCTCTTCAGAAAACGTGGCAAAGTGTGACCATCTGTTAATCTGGGTGGTAGTGCCCAACAATGCCATTTTAACTTCTGTGTGTCTGAACTATTGCACAGTTTCAAAGTATCTTTTTAAAGAAAAGGATCCATGCGGCCATGGAAGAGTAAAATGAACATAATTATCTAAAACTTCACCAAAGAACTCTCTCCTTATCTCATCTCTTTTTAAAAATCATCAACATCTGTTTCCAAGAGCATGTGGAAACGAAGACAGATGCCATCATGTATTTCCTCCCGGTCACAGTGACTGCCCAAGTCCACAGAAGAGGTGGCGAGTTGTTACCTTGGTAATGGTGAGCACGATGTCCGTGGATGTCACCAGAGGGTGGGGATTTCCCATCAGCCTGTAGCCGATCACCTGGGGAAGCACCATGCTGATCGGCTGACCCAGCATGACTGCCTCTGCTTCGATACCACCCACTCCTGCAGGGAAGGCACACAGAAGAATGCTTTCGGCATATCTTCCGATATCCCTCAGGCATAATTCAACCCCATTACAATGTTTTCCTAGTGGAGGTTTGGGTCATGTAAAGAGTAGTTATCTTTTTCTAGTTCCCTCTATAGAATTTTTATAAGCACTTCTCAGAGTGTGGTCCCCCAAACACCTTTATCAAAATCCCTTTCATTCCATACCAAGTGGAAAATGGAGTTAAAAATGTAACAAACAGCTCCAGCTCATTCTTCCAGACATTATTATTGAGTGCCTATGAGGTGCTGTTCTAGGCAGTGGAAACCCAGCTACAGTAAACCAAATAGACAAAAATACCTTTCCGATAAGTGTGGTCAAAGTCATGCTACCGGGATGTCGTAACGGGATCGGTGTGAATTAGGCTACACACTACACAACTGCGTGCGGAATAGGAACCTGGACCAATACTCACCCCAGCCGAGAACTCCCAAACCATCAATCATGGTAGTGTGCGAATCTGTGCCCACAAGGCTGTCAGGGTAATAATAGCCATCGTGATCAAATACCACTCTTGCCAAATACTCCAGATTCACCTGGTGGATGATTCCTGAGCCGGGGGGTATAATCCGCATGTTGCGAAAAGCCTGAGAACCCCACTAGGATGGAAAACGGAAAGAACGCCATGAACGCCCGATGCACTTCTATGCAGCCCAGCTCCTTGGCACCTCTCCCTCGTACCCGCGCACATAAACAACCAACAGATGGAACCAAACTCCGCCCATACCTTTAAAAATTCAAACCGTTCTCTATTTCTTTCAAATTCCAGGTCTTGATTCTTCTGTAAACTGTCTGCCCTGTCAGAGAGAAAAGCTGAATGTATAAATTTTAAGGCTTAAAATGTTACCGGTCAAACTTCTCGGTGATAAATAAACCAACTAACAATGTCATCTGCAGGCTCGCTGGGTGAGACAGATGGTGGAATGATTTCTCATTCACATGGGAAATGTGAAGCAAAAGTAAAAAGAATAATTATTATTTGGTTCAAGTGATCCCTACAATACCTTTAAACATGGTGAGTAGCAAACATTAAGTGAATTCAAGTTATAACGGGTCTAGTCACAAAGCCTGACTTTTAGGAAGTGTCTAGACCTTTATGATGATGACAGTGGCTTAGAGATTTAAAGAACCTTAGTCTCTGTTCTTCTTCCCCATGTGTGACCTTGTTATGACCCCTCTCTGAGCTGAGCCTGGTCCGGGCTGGCATTTTCATCTGTTTACGCTGGGAGACAGCAAGAGAGCAATGCCAGGAAGTGTAGGCCTTTATAAAATCACAATATCCTAGCTCCCAGGAAGGTTTCTGAGGAGGATGAGGCGACCCAAGAACATCTATAAAGCACAGATTAGATGCTGAAGTTCACTCAAAGTCACTCAGTCCAGCAGGAAAGACACAGACAGAGCAGGGCGTCCGGAAGCTTTTCCAGGTTTTTTATAATCAAATTACATACATCGTCTTGAGTCAAGGTAGAACTCACAGTTACAACTTCGCAGGTTTGGCCACAGAAGGCGCTCATAAACTGTACATCATGGATTGAGTGAAATGGGTAGTAAAATTAATAGTTAAGACCCAAGTCAGACTTCAGTCACAAATAGTGAACACTTACTAATTTTCCCAGGAACCAGCCACTATTCTAAAGGCTTAAAATTTATTTTCTCTGTTAGTCTCCACAATAACCCTTTGAGTCGGATGCAACAATCATCCGCATTTTTCAAGAGGGAACTGAGACCAGAGAGGCTAAGAAACTTGCTCAAGACCACACAGCTAGTAAAGGGTGGAACTGGAATTGAACTGGCAGTCTGCCTCTACTGGTGATGCTCTGAGTCCCTACGCCACTCTGCCTTTCTGATGTAGTAGCTGCAGAGACTGCAGCAGTGATGGAGCTAGTGGGAATCACCACCACTGCCCAGGACCAAAGTACAGAATTATGTCACAGGCTTTAAGTGCTTTGCATGTATGAACTCACTCATCATCATGACAGTCCTTCACAGAGGTACCACCATTACCCCAATGTGCAGAAGAGGAGCAGAGGCACAGAAAGGTTAGTTAAATTGTCCAAGGCCACACATGTGTCAATTACAGAGCCGTCGTGTGAGCCCAGGTCTGACGGCCCTGGGAACTCTCCCCTAACCGCTGTGCTCTACTCCTCATCCACCCTCTTCCCTCACTTATTAATGATCCACAGGGCCCATCCTGGGCCACCTGCTGGGCATACAAGTGTGCAAAAGCAGCAAGTGCACTACCCAGTTGGTGCCCAGAGCCTGGTGAGCGATACAGAGAAGCAACCAGGCAATTAGGAGAGGGTGATTCTGCATGCCATGATACAGGAGGTACAGAGTGCCAGGAAGACACTCACAAAGGGTCACAAACTCAGACCGGGGATTGGGAATGCCTTTGAGAGGAAAATGACACCGATGCAGTCTAAAGGATGAAGAAGAGTCAGCCAGATAGGTAGGTGCTCCTTGGGAAGAAAAGGGCTACAGGCACTTATCATTTACTCAGTTTACACATTTACACACTCAGATTTTTTCCTCTTGATGTGACTATTCTCCAAGGTAAGTGTCAGTTGCTTTAAGGGAATTAGCTCCTGAGGGTGCCTTAGAGCAGGGGTCCTCAAATCATAGCTCCCCGGGCCAAACCTGGCCCAATGTCTGCATAGGTTTGGCTTTGAAGCAAACAATAATTTTTACATTTTTAAAGGTTGAAAACAAAAGGATATGTGAGCAGAGATGGTGGGTAGCCACAAAACCTAAAATATTTACTACTGGCCCTTTACAAAAAAAGTCTGTGGATCCCTAATGTACAGTATGGATGTCTGTGAGGGTGTATGTGTCTGTTAGAGAAAAACAGGAGGTAGAAACAGAGAAAGGAGAGAGAACGATATAGGGGAAGGAGGCAGGACACGCATGCTGCCCCCGGAAGGACAGAGCCTCTGGACCCGCTGGGCCAGTGCAGCTATTCCTCAAGGGGCTCGTCTCTACCTTCTCACCAGTACACTGAGGGCTCCATCCCTCCAACTGCCACCTGTCTCTTCAGGTCCAGGTCCACATTTCCAATGTATCCCAGGCATCTATCTGCATCAGGAATACCTCAGGCACCACATACTCAGTGGGTCAAACCGTAACATATGAGCTTGTTTCCTGAATCTCATTTTCATCCCCATCCCCATCTGTCCATAACATCTAATGACTTCCTCTCCTGCCACTTAGTATCTACAACTATCAAAGCATTTCTTTCAGAAATTGCCTAACTGGCTCTTCTGTCAGTCTATTCAACCTACCTTTATACCGTCGCCAGAATCTATCTCCTAAAATATAGATCATTGTGATCCATCTGAACCTGCCGATGGCTTCTATTTTCTCAATAAAGTATAAATCCCTTGCCCTAAAAAACAAAGTTCTTCAAAGGCGTCTGAGTGGCCCAGTTGGTTAAACATCCAACTCTTGGTTTCAGCACAGGTCATGATCTCACAGTTCATGAGTTCAAGCCCCGCGTCGGGCTCTGCCAACACCGCGGAGCCCACCTGGGATTCTCTCTCTCCCTCTCTCTCTTCCCCTCCCTGGCTTGTTCTCTCTCTCAAAAAATAAACAAACATTAAAAAGAAAATTTAAAAAATGAACTTCTTCAGCATAACCTCAAACTTCCTTTTTTAAAAAAAAAAGTTTTATTTATTTATTTGTTTGAAAGAGTGAGAGAGAGCAAGGGAGGGGCAGGGAGAGAGGGGGAGAGAGAGAGAGAGATAATTCCAAGCAGGCCCTACACTGTCAGTACAGAGCCCGATGCAGGGCTGGACCCCACAAACTACGAGATCATGACCTGAGCCAAAATCAAGAATAAGGACACTTAACTTACTGAGCCACCCAGGCGCCTCTCAAACTTCCTTTATAAGCCCTCTTCAACCACCTGGTTCAACCTTTCTTTAGCTTCAGCCACGCCGAAGCCCTCGCATTCTCCTGAACCTCGCTTCCCTCGTGACTTTGCAGCCTCTATTCATTCTCTCCTGTATTGTCTCAGTGCCTTTTCCAGCTCTTCCCTCCCAGGTCCACACCCTTCAGGACCTGGATCAAGCAATACTGCTGACCAAACCCTCCAGACTCCCTGTGTGGCCCTGCGTCTGGTGGCCCTGGCTCTCCCACTCAGAGCACGTGTGGACCCCCAGTCAGGACCCCTCACCCTTTTGCCTCCAGAAGCAGAAGGACAGTGGAGCCTCTCCCAGCAGAAGCGGGGGTGGGAGGGGAACACTCACCCCAGAGACTGCTGGGGCGTCGATCTGACGCAAAGGACATATTCGCAGGACAAGCAGGAGCCAGAAATGCTCAGGCTGCTTTAACACGGGTTAATGCCAGGTAAAAAGCTATTTACTCATTAAAACAAAACTCCTCTTATGCTAACCCTGGCTCAGTTAACGGTCCAAGTTACTGGAATAAATAAACAGACCTAGAATTCAGATTTTTCCACCACTCAGCAGTTCCCTAAATTCAGCAATCCATGGAGCTTTTAATAAGGTTTCTGAATATGGCTAAAGAGGAAATTTCTCCCTCGTTACATAATTTGAATTCAGATTTGGACGTATATCAGAGTTCAATGGTACTCTAGAAATTCACAAGTAGTATTTACGGAGGAGGGAGTTTCCATACTCCTGAAGTCTGGTCAGAAGCTGTTTTGAGATTCTTGCTGGGGTTTAAAAAGAAGGTTATTTTTGAGATAACCTTGAAAAACATTACAATAATGAATTAGCTAGACCCTCCATTCCTAAAAATGGTTCGAGGCTAATTATTATTATTCAAGCAAGGCAAAGAGCGCAGACATATTTACATGAGAACCTTTATCATCCCAGCACCCTGCCACAGTTTTTCGAGTTCATTTCTGGAAATAGCTGGAAAGGAGCCCACAGCACACAGTAACACAGAAGTTGAGACATACCACATTTAATTCCTTACAAAAATGAGGAAAGAGACAGGGAGGTCAAATTGCAAAACCAAACTCAAGCAATAAAAACAAAACACCACCAACGAAAACACTTCTCACAGAAATGTTCTCTTTAATTTAAAAAAAAAAAAAAATAAGTGCTTGCCAGATTTGGATATCAATTTGGATCAAAGTCTCCCCACCCTAGACTTTGCTGCTTTTCTAATAATGTTTTCAGTACTACAGTATAAATGTGAAGAGTCCATAAAAAAATTGAAACCAGAGTTGATGGATCTCAAGGAAAAAGAAATCACGGTGAACTTGGTGATGACTCAGATCCATTAATTGCTTAATACTAGTCAGGAGCTCTTTGAATTTTCAGTCAAAAGTGAAAGACAGCAAGATAATTACAATTCTATCTCCACCAGTACTTTCATCTTCCAGGCAGTGAAATAAAGGTAAATTATGAATACCAGTGAGAATCTCCAAGAAAGATAGAGTTGCCAAGGATTTGGACTGCCTGGGTGGCTCAGTCAGTTAAGTGTCCAACTTCGGCTCAGGTCATGATCTCACAGTTCGAGGGTTCAAACCCCACCTCAGGCTCTGTGCTCAGAGCCTGGAGCCTGCTTCAGCGTGCGTGCGTGCGTGCGTGTGTGTGTGTGTGTGTGTGTGTGTGTGTCTCTCTCTCTCTCTCTCTCTCTCTCTCTCTCTGTCCCTCACCTGGCTCATGCTCGGTCTGTCTCTCTCTAAAATAAATAAACATTAAAAAAAAAGTTGCCAATGACTTTGTGAGGCTACTTTTATAACTTCTGAAGTGGAGTGTTAGGAAACATCCTTATCCTCAAATAGAATAACATTTCGTCTATGCATTTTTTAGTCTTCCCTTTGACACCAAACCATTAAATTGAGCTCATGCTATTCAAGGAGGAAAAAAAAGACAAGACAAATTGCCTAAGGATGAGTTTAGAGTCCAAAGGAAAGGGAACAGCTGCCGAATCTCCAGTCTGTTTGTTCCAAGAACCATCAATTCAGGGGCAAAGCAGATGTCTTTTTATCCCGAATTTATCTGGCTTGGATATTGACATTAACTTGAGAACGACAGTTACTGCACTTCTCTTGAGGCTGTATGGAACCCACTTAAATCCCCCAAGAAAGCAAATAAAGTTTTTTCTCTCTCTCTTTGAACAGTTTGTTTTGTACTCTTAAATGACTTTTTAATTTAAAAACAATAGCTTCCCAGGGCACCTAGGTGGCTCAGTTGGTGAAGCGTCCAACTGGAGCTCAGGTCATGTTCCTGTGCTTTGTGGATTTAAGCCCCATGTCGGGCTCTGTGCCATCAGCACGGAGCCTGCTTTGGATCCTCAGTTTCCATCTCTCTCTGCCCCTCCCCTGCTCCCTCTCCCCCTCCTCTAAAAATAAAAATAAAAAATAAGCAAATTAAAAAAACCAAACCAATAGCTTCTTACTGTAAAAATAAAGAACAGTTACAATCCCAGAGATAAATCATTTAGCAGTTTGGCAACTCTTTCCTCAATCTTTTCATCTCCATATAGTTTTTCATCTAGCTGAAATCACGCTATACAAGCAATTCATATTTGGCTCATTGAACTAAGACATGAGCACGTTCCAAGTGTTATTAAACGGTTTATAATTATAACGGCAAATGTTACCTAATAATTTAGTTTAAGGACATATCTTAATTTAATAAATCATTCTCCTTTGTTGGACATTTAGGATGCTTCTACATTTTCATTAAAGCATCATTTATAATAATGAACACTATTTAGTCATTAAGCTATCTCTCATTTTCAGGCATCTGTGAAGGATATGCTTGGAAGTGGAAATTCCAGGACAAAGGGCATGGCGATTTCTAACTATCTTAATACATACTGCCTTCATCATTTCTAACTCAATGTTATCAGAAGTACATAAAAGTGTCTTCCTCATGACATCTTTATAATTAATAATGTTTATTTTCTAATCTTAACTGGATTGATAAAATGGTATCTCAAGGATTTAACCTTTTTTATTACTTGTAAAGTTGAAAAGGATTTATATAGTGTTTACCATTTGTTTTTCCTTTTATTGCGAACCATCCACTTTCCTTTACCCATGTATCTGCTGGGTTTTACTATTTTTTAATGGATTATACACAATGTTTATATAGTAAAGATATTAAACCTTTGTTATATTTGTTGCAAATATGTTTAAAAGATACTTAAGCCATTAAATCTATAGTTCCTTGTTCCTTTTTTGCTTCATTTATTCCTATGAAATTTAGAAAGGTCTTTCTCAAGACAATTGACATATACATACTTGTATTTCTTTTAAAGTTTTTTATGATTTAAGAAATATTAATGCTTTAATTCATAGGACCTGCTCTATCAAATAACTAATTTCCCCAGCATTGGATATAGTATAGTTCTTTCTTTCTGTGCTCAGAGTTGATGATAACTTGTTATTCTTCTAGGTTAAGATACCAGACTTTTGGCAGTACCTGGTTACCTGCCCTGTATCCAAACCCTGGCTGTATAATCTTGCAGATACTTTTAAAACAGATGGAGTGTACTGCCCACCACTGACTTAGGGCTTGCCTGTGTATCTTGCTTTGATGACTATTATTGCAAATAGACAGAATTCTATGCCAGCCCTAATCTAAGCCTCAAGAGATACTGTGGGTTCGTTCCCATTTGCCCTCTTGAGCCTCTGTGATCACCAGGTGCTTTCTCCTTCAGCCTGGGCCCCAAGAGAAGGGAAAAGAAAAAAAACCACATATGATTAATCCCCCCTCCCCCCACCCCCAGATCTTCACTGGAAAATCTGTATTGAGTTTTTCTGAATACAACTTTAAAAGATTTTCTTCGTTTATTTACACACACACACACACACACTCACACAAAGAAGACTTGATCTCCAAGACTTGGCACAAAACAGAAAACCCAAGTATGCGTCCTAACCTCTCACCTTCTGTTGAAATCAACCTGGATGGAATGATCAATTACAAGATCAGCAGGACAAACAGGGTTTATTTTCTCTGGATCCCCTCCTAACTTTTTCACAGCATCACGCATTGCCGCGAAGTCAACCACAGCTGGCACACCCCTAAGAAAAGAGAGAATTAAACAGAAAACAAATCTGTGAAACAAGTATATTTGGATTTTCAGCTTTGGCCTCCACTAACAATACTGGTCATGAGACAGTCTCATCAGTGGGGCTGACAATGGGTGACTTAGAAAAGTGGAAGTTTCTAAACACATCTCCTTGAGCAGAAATTGGTAGTAAGCACCATGACTCATCTCTACACATGATTTTGTCATTGCATTAAAGTTAACAATAGATACGTCTAAATAGAGACCAGGGGAAGTGGGCACTTAAAAACTCTGGGGCTGTTACTGCCACGGCTGATTCCCATTCACATGGGGGGTGGGGGCAACAAAGGCCTACAGAAGATACACGGATTTCACCTCCAACCTTGACCAACTTTAAAGAAATGGATGTAATTCAGAGAAGAATGCTGTGAATCAAATTTACACTAGGTGAATCCTTCCTTTTTATTATTTTAGTATGAAATTTGTCCTCTAGGCTGTCCTTTAGAAAAATAAAACTTGGTCTCTAGAAGGAATAAAAAAAAAACCATCATTTAAAAATGGCATTAAGAAAGGCAGACTCGGAAAGCAGGCCATGATCAGGAGTAAAGACACCCAGGAATAGCAGGATGTAAACTGAGGCTGAATGGCAACAGGTCAGACCTTGGGAACTAGAAGTCTCTCCTCAGGACACAACACATCGATGTTCGAAGGACAGCTATTTGAAACCAGGCTCTCTGGGTGACAGGATGTGAAGGAGAGAAGATTCTAAGATAGCTCTACTCCAGGCTGTTTCTTCCACCTTTTGTCAGTATACGTAAGGCTAGGATCTCCAAAGACAATGACATTTGCCATTGGAAGAGGTGGAGTGACTACACATCCCACTTTGTCCGAAACAATCTCTGGCTCTCCAGGATAACTGACCTATCACATTTACGAAAGTGTCTGGATACTGAGTGATAAATTATACAGTCATTGCACGCGCTCGCGCGCACGCGTGTGTGTGTGTGCGAAAGCGTGTATCAAGCTTTCTTTAAAGGCTGGCAAGGGAGGCAGTGAAGAGGGGAGTGAAGTAAGTGGGCTCACGTAAAGTCCTGCAGGATGACGCGGGCAGGCTTAAATGGCACTTCTATGTTCTTATGCTGCATGACATTCCAATTTAGGATATTTTCAATGTCATTTTTCTTCACCAAAAATTGATCACAGTTCCGAATGGCTGCCTCCAGGAGAACTCTGATAGAAAATGGTAAGCGTTCTAGGAAAAAAGAAGGAAGCATAACAAAATAAACAAAAGTCATGAGACACCTTGCTATAAGGGCTATTTAAAAGCCAGTCTCTACATAAACCTGATAGGAGGCATCAGACTATTCTTTCAATAAGAAAAGATGGTAAAAGCTCAGAGCCTGGAGCCTGTTTCAGTCTGTGACCCCCTCTCTCTCTGACCCTCCCCTGCTCATGCTGTCTCTCTCTCTGTCTCCTAGAAATAAAAAAAACAAAAACAAAACAAAACAAAAAAAAAAAAAGATGGTAAATTCAGATTCATTTCAACAGTTCGATATATAAGAATATTGAATGGGTTGAAGAGACATTCAGTAATAGAAAAAGTTAATTCTTTCATAATGATTGCCTTACATTGGATTTGAGTAACAGTTTCCCTTAAATCATCATAATACACGTTAGCCTAGATATTTACTATATTCTGTTGGCAAATGACACACACACAGAGTAATATTTCTTATGAAAACTAGTGTTCAAGAAATGAGAAAAGAACTTCTTTACGACCTATGTAATTAAGACCAAAGTATAGTCACATACGTCTTTCAAAGGAAATATAACCCTACACACCATGGAGAATGGCCACTGGCAATGGGTTCGAGGATAAAACAACAGTAGTTCGGAAGAAAAACCGTTTTGTTTACCTATAAAAGAAATGTTCATTCCTGATCTACGAAAACTATTCACCAATATTATTTGGAAAAGACAAGAGTGCCAAGGCAGAAAAGCAGAGGATTTGGGATAAAAAAAAGACATGTTTGTGTCTTCTCCTACCCACATAGTTATTTCTTGATCATGTCATTGACCCTTTCTGGGCCTCGGCTTCCTCAGGACTTCTTACATTTTAAAAACATGACTTCATGGAGTTGTTATGCAGATTAAACAATATAGGGGCACCTGGGTGGCTCAGTCGGTTAAGTGTCCAATTTCGGCTCAGGTCATGATCTTGCGGTTCATGGGTTCGAGCCCCACATCAGACTCTGTGCTGACAGCCAGCTCGGAGCCTGGAGCCTGTTTCAGATTTGTGTCTCCCGCTCTCTCTCTGACCCTCCCCTGCTCATGCTGTCTCTCTCTCTCAGAAATAAAAAAACATTAAAAAATTTTAAAAAATACATAATATATACATATAAACTCTCTACATACTATAACATGTTATATAAATGTCACACATATATAACCATTACTTATGTAAAAATGAGCAATGTAAAAAAGGTGTGTGAGTTTGTGTGCTTAATTCAAGACCATTCAGCCATCTCCCTTGTTCAACTCTCCTAAAGGCTAACTAATTACACAGCTTAATTATTAAGCAAACAAGATGTGAACTGCTGCCAGAACAATTAACACCATAGAGCCATACACCTACCATATCTTGAATCCTTCAGTTTGTTCAAATTGAAGAATTTCTTTCCTGGTTGTGCAGGATCTAAAGGCTCCACCAGGTGTGCAAATGGGTTGCTCATGATTCTTGATGGCCACGTGTCTCTGAAAAGAAAAGGCAACATTTCATCTCTGTCAATACTGGACCTCATTTATTCTGATGAGTGATTGATTGCCCTCTCTCTAACAATTACAGTAGATATTCACTTCAAGACATCACTTATCAGGCTAAAATGAGCAAATCAGAGGACTCTAGATGCTGGCGAGGATGTGGAGAAACGGGCACCCTCCTACATTGTTGGTGGGAATGAAAACTGGTGCAGCCCCTCTGGAAAGCAGTGTGGAGGTTCCTCAAAAAATTAACAATAGAACTCCCCTAGGACCCAGCAATAGCACTGCTAGAAATTTACCCAAGGGATACAGGAGTGCTGATGCATAGGGGCACATGTACCCCAATGTTCATAGCAGCACTCTCAACAATAGCCAAAACATGGAAAGAGCCTAAGTGTCCATCAACGGACGAATGGATCAAGAAGATGTGGTTTATCTATACAATGGAATACCACATGGCAATGAGCAAGAATGAAATCTGACCATGTGTAGCAATGTGGATGGAACTTGAGGGTGTTATACTGAGCGAAATAAGTCCGGCAGATAAGGAGAGACACCATGTTTGCACGTATAGGAGGATTACGAGGAACTTAATGGAGGACCATGGGTGAGAAGAAGGGGAAAAATAGTGGGGGAGAGGGAGGGAGGCAAACCATTAGAGCCTCTTGAATGCTGAGAACAAGCTGAGGGCTGATGGGGGAGGGGGGAGAGGGGAAGGGGGGTGATGGGCATGGAGGAGGACACTTGTGGGGATGAGCACTGGGTGTTATATGGAAACCAACTTGACAATAAACTTAAAAAAAAAAAAAAACATCACTTATCATTCCATAGTAGGAGAAAGGCAGGACATACGACTACAAGAATAATATTCTTAGTAAATAAAATGGCCTTCTGTGAAGCTATTGTGAAAACTAGCATTCACCTCTGAGAGACCATAATCCCACACTTTTGTCTAAGGTCTACAACTTTCCAACATTCTTCCACTGATAAGATAAGCCATGTCTTATGGTAAATCTTGAATATGCAAACTGACCTCTGAGCTGGACTCCTGTCTTGCTTGACAGGAAGTAAGAGGTCATAGCAGATGATGTGCAATTGTATAAAACTTGAACTTTGGAAGTGGGGGTTTGAAGACAGCTCTTTTCTGTGGTCTTTTTTTTTTTTTTTTTAATATTTTTTATTTATTTCTAGGACAGAGAGAGACAGCGTGAGCAGGGGAGGGTCAGAGAGAGAGGGAGACACAGACTCCGAAATAGGCTCCAGGCTCTGAGCTGGCAGTCAGCAGAGAGGCCAATGCGGGGCTTGAACCCACGAACCGCAAGATCATGACCTAAGCGAAAGTCGGACGCTTAACCGACTAAGCCACCCAGGCGCCCCTCTGTTGTAAGTCTTGCAGCATTTGAAATAAACATGGTAGCTGGAAGTGTTCCTGATTCACTTTCCCACATGGTGGCAAAAAGTGTTCACATCGAGTAATTTCTGTTACTAGAGTGTGGCATAAAGGCCTAAACTTCCCAGAAACGTGTGGAGGAAACTCTGGAGGAGAATCTCTACCCCAGCTCCAGGCAGGATTTAGGTTATCTTTGTAGAAATTATAAGCAGTGAACAAGGGAAATAATTGTTTCTGGCCTCCACCACACAGATCAATAGCAGTTTCAAATAACTTGAATGTATGACTCAGAGTAAAACATAGTAGGAATAGAAAGTAGAGTAGGAATTAGAAGACTTGCTTTCCAGTTCTACCCTTTGGGCAAAAATGCTTCAGCCAATCCATTCCCCATTTTGAGCTCAGAATAGTAATGTTCTGGGGTGCCTGGGTGGCTCAGCTGGTTCAGCATTTGACTTTGGCTCAGATCATGGTCTTGTGGTTTGTGAGTTCGATCCCCACGTTGGGCTCTCTGCTATTGGAGCAGAGCCTGCTTAGGATCCTCTGCCTCCCTCTCTCTCTCTGCCTCTTGCTGCTCAGTATCTCTCTCTCTCTCTCTCTCTCTCTCTCTCAAAAATAAAGAAAAGCATTGAAAAAAAAAGAATAGTAACATCTCTGAAGCGTCTGGCTGGCTCAGTCAGTAAAGGATGTAGCTCTTGATGTTGGGGTTGTGGATTCAAGTCCCACACGGAGTGTAGAGATCACTTAAAACTAGAATCTTAAAACAAACAAAAGGAATACTAATGTTTCACCAATTAATCCAGGGATTTTACGAATACTTAAATACTCAACATATTTTGGGGATGACTAATAGGGAACGATCAACATATTACTGTAAAATGAAAAAACATCGGTAGGCAAACTCTAGACATATCATGGGTTCAGTCCATTCCACCACAATAAGGCAAATATCGCAATAATCTGGGTCAAAATAATGCTTTGGTTTCCCAATGCATATAAAAGTTATGTTTATGCTATCCTATAATCTATTTTTTAAAAAAACCAATGTACATACTTTAATTTAAAAACTATTGCTGGGGCAGCTGGGTGGCTCAGTTGGTTAGGCATCTGACTTTAGCTCAGGTCATGATCTTGCAGTTCAAGCCCCATGTTGGGCTCTGTGCTGACAGCTCAGGGTCTGGAGCCTGTTTCAGATTCTGTGTCTCCCTCCTGTACTCTCTCTCTCTCGAAAATAAGTATTAAATTTTTTTAATAAATACTTTATTACTAAAAAATGCTAACCATCATCTGAGTTTTCAGTGAGTCATAATCACTGATGGTAGGTAACTATACCAAATCAATGATAAAGAATAAGTTTCATATATTATGAAAACTGTCAAAATATGACACAGAGACAGGAAGTGAAGAAATACTGCTGGGAAAACGGTACCAATAGACTTGCTCAAAGAAGGGTTGCTGCAAATCTTCCATCTATAAAAAATATAGTATCTGTAAAGCACAATTGAATGAGCTGTGTATGTAACAGGAAATGACTGTTTTGGGGGATAAAAAGTTATAAGTGGTTCTTGTCTCCATAGACTGGCCCACATCTTCATGAAAACACAAAAGTGACTGGCTCCTTTAAGAGGGATAGAGGCCTTGGGGCGCCTGCGTGGCTTAGTCGGTTAAGCCTCTGACTTTCGCTTAGGTCATGATCTCAAGGTTCGTGGGTTCGAGCCCCGCGTCGGGCTCTGTGCTGACTGCCAGCTCAGAGCCTGGAGCCTGTTTCGGAGTCTGTGTCTCCCTCTCTCTCGGACCCTCCCCTGCTCACACTGTCTCTCTCTCTCCTAGAAATAAATAAAAAAATATTAAAAAAAAAAAAAAAAGAGGGATAGAGGCCTCAAAGTCAAGACTGGGAACAAGACTCAGTTTCCACTACACATCCTTTCATTTTGCCTGCGTGTTTACCCATGTACGATACAAATTTTTGGAAACTAGTTGAAAGCTTAAAAGAAATAGGGGCGCCTGGGTGGCTTAGTTGGTTAAGTGTCCGACTTTCGCTTAGGTCATGATCTCGCGGTTCGTGGGTTCGAGCCCCGCGTCGAGCTTTGTGCTGTCAGCTCAGAGCCTGGAGCCTGTTACAGAGTCTGTCACTCCCTCTCTCTCTGACCCTCCCCTGCTCACGCTGTCTCTCTCTCTCTCCTAGAAATAAAAAATTAAAAAAAAAAAAAAAAAGAAAGCTTAAAAGAAATAGGTATTTGTGTGTATCCTCTGTCTAAAGACCAGTGCTAGGGAATTCTGGGGAGAGGCAGTGGATTGAGAAGCAGCGCTTGCCTTCCTGGAGTTAGCAGTGCCAGAGGCCACGGGACAAGCCAGACACCTGTCACGGGCACAAGAGAATGCAGAGGACAGAGTGAGGTTGTCTGCCAGCATGGACTCCTTTCCCAGAGTTCTATGTGTTTTTTTTGCAGGAGCTGCCATTTTGTCAGGGAGAGGGAAAGCTATTTGCCCTAATCTGGGCCAATGCACTCTCTTTCTTATCTGGGAATTCTAGAACTGAAACTAAAGAAAGGCCAGCAAGGGAAACTGTGGTTATAAAAGCATATGCTCCAGACCATCTGAGTTAGAACTACTCAGGGATAGTTCTTGTTACAAATACAGATTCCGGAGTCTCACTCCTAAATTACTGAATCAGGATTGATGGGGGGAGGGGAGGGAGGAGGCCTGGGCAGAGTGTGCCGTCTAAGGGGGCAGTGGACACTTGGCTCCAGCCTAGAGCTTCATGCAGGAATGCCCAGCCCAGTGCTGACAGATCATCCAACTTTTCAAGCGAGTCTGGCAGTCTGGATTCCTAGGAGAACTCTCTTGATTTAGAAATGTTGGTAACTAAATGTTTCTACCGTGTGGGGCTGCAGTGTGACGGCTAGCCGAACACGCCCGCGGGCTCTACGTGACCACCAGACTGCCAGCCCGTGACCGATGTCCCAACCTACCTGGCAGACGTTTCAGGCTGGAGAATGGCAGGGTAACCACAGAGAGAAAACTCAGGTAGGAAACTACAGAAAGGGAAGAGGCGAGATGTAACCCGCGTGGGCAACTGGATGGTGGCAGCTGAGGTGGAAAAGAAGTGGTGGATGGAAAGAAGAGGCAAACACTAGAGAAATCACAGGGCAGAAGAACTATAGCTGAACCCTAAGTGCGGAGGGCTGGAGGGTCTTAGGACTGCCTGGGGAGGGGACACTGTGGCTGCGGAGACAGAAAGCATTTCTTTCTTTCCTTCCTTCCTCCCCCTCCTTCTTTCTTTTTCTTTCTCTTTCTTTTTCTTTCTGTCTTCCTTCCTTCCCCCCTCCCTCCCTCCTTTTCTTTCTTTCTCTCTCTCTTTCTTTCTTCCTTCTCCCCTCCCTCCCTCTTTCTCCCCCCCCTTTTAAGTTTTATTTTGAGACAGAGAAAGCATGAGTAGGGAAGGGGCAGAGCGAGAGGGAGAGAGAGAGAGACCCATGTAGCCTCTGCACTGTCAGCACAGAGTCGGAAGCGGGGCTCAAACTCACGTACCATGAGACCATGTCCTGAGCCAAAGCCAGATGCTAAGTTGACTGAACCACCCACATGCCCAAAGGATGGAGTGCAT